CTTCTTGGAGGCGATAGACGTGTGTCCAATACATCACTTAGCATCACATTTTGCAAAGAATATGGTTTTGATAACAATGTCAACAGTTCTCTAGGATGCCTTCCCATTAGTACTTCCAATGCTACAACCCCAAAGCTATAAACATCACATTTCTCAGTCACAACCATTGTATAGGCAAGCTCTGCATAGGTATATCACACATTTCAAATGTCAATTTAATAGTAAATAGTGAAATAAGACAACAAAAGAAGAATGTTGTTATGTTGATAGAAAAAACCTGGGGCAATATAACCATAGGTGCCAACAAGTGTGGTATGATTAGATGAATCAGGATCCAAAAGCCTAGCATTTCCAAAGTCAGAAACCAAAGCCTCTAACTCCGAGTTTAATAGAATGTTGTTGCTTGATATGTCCCGGTGAAGGATGGGTGGGATATAGTCATGGTGAAGGTAACACAAAGCATGTGCTGTGTTTTTTATGACATTCACCCTTTTCATCCAGTCCAATTCCACAGCTTCAGCATCATCTCTGAGAACGCAAAACAAGCTTCCTCTTTCCATGTATTCATAGATCAAAAACATGCAATGTCTATGCAGACAGAACCCATGAAGCTTGACAATATTCTTATGTCTTATTTCTGTCAACATCTTAGCTTCATTCCTAAAACTCTTGTCAAAAGTGGGTACCTCTGATTCCCTCTGATGAAGTTTTTTTAAGGCAACTACTTTGCCATTTGGCAATTGTGCCTTGTAAACACTGCCATAGCCACCAGTACCAATGCAATACCGAATATCAAAATCTTCAGTTGCTGCAATAATGTCTTCAAATGCAACCCTCCCATCAAAGTTCCATATTGAGAACATATCCCCATTTTTTGCTGGACTTAGAATTGCTTCCTTACTTTTTGCTCCATTTATTCTTCGAGAAAGGAACAACAATGCCAAAGATACCAACACAAGAGAAATGGTGCTAAGAAGAATAATTTTAGTATGTCTCATCACTTTGTTGGAATTTTTTCTATGTTGAGTGAAAGGAGAAGGCGAAGTAGTGGGGCTGCTAAGAGGATAATCATATAAGCCTAGGTTGTCTATAAAAGAGTTGTATGGAAAATGAGCCAAAGTCTTTGGGATTGAGCCTGTGAGATTATTGCAACAGAGATTCAAGCCATCTCGATTCAAGTTTCCTAAATACCCAAGTTCTGAAGGTATTGACCCTTTCAAATGATTTGAATCAAGATACAAGTTAGTCAAATCGGATAAATTACCTAGAGTGGGAGGAATGGGACCAGTGAAATTGTTAGCACTGAGATCTAAAATTAATAAATACTTCATATTTCCTATTTCAAATGGGAGGTCTCCACCCATGGAATTGTGACTCAAATACAGTTCTTCTAAAAGGGAGCAATTCTCAAGTTGTGTTGGGAGGTGTCCACACAATTTGTTTCGGGAAAGGTCTAAATACTGCAAAGATTTCAAATGCCCAATCTCTTTGGGTATTGAACCTTCTAAAAGATTTGAATCAAGACACAATGTTTGCAGATTGGGTAAATGAAGTATGGTGAAAGGAATTGAACCAGTGAAATTGTTAGTACCAAGATTCAAAAAAGATAGATCAGTCATAATTCCTATTTCAGAAGGAATGAAACCTTGTAAATTATTTGAACCAAGATTCAAATAGTTCAAATTAGACAAATGAGATAGAGATGAAAGGATATGACCAGTTATTTTGTTATTACTAAGATCCAATTCCCACATATTATATAGACATCCTAAATTTGGAGGGATAGAACCATTCAAGTTATTTGAATTAAGATCCAAAATTGACAAATTGGACAAGAGACCCAAAGATGGAGGGATATGACCAACTAAATTGTTTTTAGAAAGACTCACATACTGTAAATTGGACAAACGAGACAAAGAGGGAGGGATTTGACCACTTAAATAGTTTTTAGAAAGATTCAAATACTGTAAATTGGACAAGAGACCCAAAGATGGAGGGATATGACCAGCTAAATTGTTTTCAAAAAGACTCAAATACTGTAAATTGGACAAACAAGACAGAGAGGGAGGGATTTGACCACTTAAATTGTTTTCAGAAAGACTCAAATACTGTAAATTGGACAAACGAGACAGAGAGGAAGGGATTTGACCTTCTAAGTTACTATCACCAAGATTCAGAAGTTCCAAATTACTTAGATTTCCTATGCTTGATGGGATGGGGTCATAAAAATAATTAGTCCCAAGGTGCAGGATCCTCAAATTTGTCAAGTGACCCAAAGTTGGAGGGAACGGACCAACAAGTTCGCAGTGACTCATGTGGAGTTCAGCGAGATTGGTCAATTCCCCAAATTCTGGAGGGATGGAGTCACTAAATGAATTGACACTGAGATCTAGAAATGTCAAACTGGTTAATTGTCCAAGACGGGGTGGTATTAGACCCACAAACAAGTTCCAAGATAGATCCAGAGAAACCAAGTTCTTTAAATTTCCCATTTCTGAAGGTATGGATCCATTGATTTGATTGTTTGCAAGAGACAAAGAAACCAGATTGATTAAATGACTGACGTTGGAAGAGATTGGACCATTGAGGGAGCAATCGCTCATGTCTAAGGCTACAAGACTCTTCAAGTTCCATATTTCTGGAGGGATACTACAATGAAAAGGATTTGAGGCCAACTCCAAGTGGGAAAGATTGGTGGGAAGGCCTATAATTGGAGCACTGGATGCAGTGAGGTTGTTCCAAGTCAAGTTCAAAGAAACAAGATTCTTCAAATTCCTGACTTTTGGGGAGATGGAGTTTATGTAATTGAAAGATACGTCAAGCATCCGTAATTGAGTGAGATTTCCAAGTGAAGAAGGCAATGTACCTGTTAGATTGTTGCTGGACAGATTAAGGTGCTTGAGTCTTGTAAGATCACCAATTTGAGGTGGGATGCTCCCATAGAGTCCTTGATGGCTAAGATTAAGGTGAACAAGATTGGGGAAGGAAGAGAAGTTCATTTTTCCAAACTTCCCTCCCACACTAAAATCAGGTGGACTAATCTCGGTAATGCTCCCAGCACCGTTGCATGTTATACCAGGCCAGCTACAATGGTCTGCAACGTTGTTGATGGAGGCATTCCACCACTCACTCTTCCACAGAGCTAGTGCCTCTGGTGTCGCCCCGGCCACAAATGTGCTGCCAGTGCCAATACAAATTGTAGAGTAGAAAAATAAGGAAGCCCATGTTAATAACTCCATGGAAATGCGGATGTAAAATGCCATGTTAAGTTTGAT